AAAATCTTTTTACACCCACCTGACAACCAACTGCTATGCCATACTACTGTCCGATTATCAATTTGGATTTAATGGTGAATCTTAGTCTGACGCCATGACCAATATTTATCAATTAAGTTTCAGTGGGGGGTAGGGGGGGTTTGGAAAAAAACTAAAGGAATTAAGTTTTTTATCCGACATCGATATTTTGACGTCGTCCCTAACGGCAGAAATCATTTGTGATAAACTTCATCCACATAAGAGGTTCTTTTTGAGTCTTATCAAAATGGATTGTTGGCCATAAGTTCATATTCTAATTCCAAGGTCCACAGGCACTATAATGTCCACTGACACACACACAAGCAAGAACTAAAAGTACTGATAATCTCTAGTTGGACTATGCTCAGAAAACAAGATGAATTTTACCACAAAAAGAAGCTGTCAAATGACTCTATACGAGGGTAGAAATAATAAATACATTAGTACTTGAAGATTTGTGATGCCTTTAAAATTAAGTTGAGACAATTGTAAGTTGAGAAATGAAAATAGAAGCCAGGTGAACCTTCCAACAGATTCCATTCTGGAATTTGGATGAGTTCAAGGTCTGAAAGGGATTAATTCTGAGCACAAGGCCAAGTTGACTGTAATGAATAAAGCATCTTGGGTAATCTGAGGTTGGTTTCAACAGTTATCCTTTATATTCTTGTCATTAGATTTATTTATTTAATTTAGGAATACATTTTACTATATTTTTTTTGAAATAGACAAAAAAAAAAGTTCAACAAATGACCAAGATTAGGCAAATTGCTCATCAAAATGGACGATCAGGAATGAGAACATTATAGTGATTAAAATCTATTTTCAGTTCAGTTCACAGCATCCGTCTCTCAGTAGTATCAAGTTTTGAAGACGCAAGGTTTTTACACTTAGAGGTGTTAATTAGATTTCCAATCCTCACCTGATGCAAGATAGCATAACATCACCCCCCAGCGGCGGGTAACAGCAGAATTTGTGTATAACACATGTAACTTAAATGTACATGCCCTCAAGATGTTCAATTTGCGAAGTGATCACGTAATTGTAAGTAAATGTCTGAGTCTGAAGTGTTTCACTGTCTTTTAAGCAATTACAAACTTGTTAACACAAAGTTAAGCAAAGCATGAGGCAGTGAACGCTTACTGAAGACAAATATAACTGATGTATGCTACACCTTTTCACCACCAGAATTTCTCACCCAAATTTTTCTGTACTTTTTTCTTATATTCTTCAATATTTCTGGAAATGAAGCCTAATTTTGGAGCCCCCAGACAAAATTTGAGTCAACTTTCAGTTTTGACTCAAAAAATTTGTTTATTTTTGTCCCAATCATCTGAAGGAGACTTTAAACAGGACTATTTTGTGAATTTGTGATGAAAATAGGGAACTGGTAGGTTAATCACCAAGGGCATCACTACATTATGGTCCATAATGTTGCCTTTTAAAAGCGTAAAGTAAGATTCTATGAAGAAAAGCCGAAAGCACAAGTAAAAAACCTGCCAGAGATGGAATGTTTATTATTAGGTTACCTTAGCTTCTCATTGTCTCTCTCCTTGTTCCTGTCTTCTCTGTCCTGTTTTTGTGTCTGTATGTCATGATTCTGTAGTCTTGTGAGTGTGTCTTCGTGTTCCCTCATTAATCGATCATGTTCCCTTGTTTTTTCTCTGAGGTCAGCTTCAACAATCTAGAACAAAAAACAATGGTGTATAATACAGGTGTTCGTAAAATTACAACCAATGGCACAGACATATATGACCGCAAAATCAGAGGGTTATGAAATCCAACCCAGAGATATGATTGGTTGATTTGAAATATGCATAATGAAGTGAATTTAAAAAGATAGGATTGGTTGATTTGAAATATGCATAATGAAGTGATACTATTGGTTGATTTGATATATATACCTCATGAAGTTTGTTTACAGAGGATTGGTTGATTTGAAACATGTATAGATATGATTGGTCGATTTGGAACATGCATAGATATGATTGGTTGATTTGGAACATGCAAAGATATGATTGGTTGATTTGGAACATGCATAGATATGATTGGTTGATTTGGAACATGCATAGATATGATTGGTTGATTTGAAAAATGCTTAATGAGGTATATTTAATGAGATATGCAACATGATTTAGAACATGCACAATTTGAACAACAAATTTGAAAAGATATTATTGTTTGATTTGACATTTATGAAATATTATCATTGTAGATCTCAGGTTCTGGTGTGGCAGTTGGATGTTTCAGAGGTATGAGGGCGCCCTCACTTCCCACAAATCTGAATGCTTAACACAAGGAGGGTGATAAAGGAGAAGTCAACACAACATAAAATAAACCCCTCAACATCAATGTCAACAAAAATGTGTTATATTTTAGTCAGTAAATTTAGAAAATAATTTTTTTTAAACTTTTGAATGTTTTACATTTTCCTGAAAATTGTGAACATTTTAATGTATTTTCTATCATTTTGGATCAAATTGTTATAATTTCTCATTGGGCTCTGTATTTAATAAAACATTTTTGTAAAATTAGAGAAAAATTATGCGGATTTGTTTTGTGAAAGGGGCAAAATTGTTTTTGGCATTGAAATATACTGTAAACTCAAAGATTTATTAAAGAAACATATAAAGAAAACCAATTTGTTATTGTGAGATAAACTTGTGTGAATTGTGAAAAAGCATGAAATTTTGTAGTAGTGAAAATGTCATTTTGCACGTTTAAAATAGTCACAGTGACTTCCTAGAAATGGTGTTACCCAGGAATGCCAAATTATTATATCGTGAAAAAGTGACAGCAACGAAAATCACAGTATATCCAGATGTAATTTAGGATATAGAGAAAGGAACACTATACATAATCAAGAAATTTATGATAAATTTGTTTATAAAATTAAATTCACCTCCCCCAGTCAGCACCCCTGCACTGGGCCCATTTCATAATACCTTTACTCAAATTTATTTCCATAAATTTCAAACTGAATCAGGATGTAAAGTTTGTACAGAAATGTGGTTGACTGTAGGTATGTTTTTCCACTATGAAAATTTACAAATGAAACTTGGGACAATTTACTACTATGAAAAACATGTTTTACATGTACATATACCATCACTAGACCTACTTAAGCATGTTTTGTACATTTCCCCCATTTCTTTTTTCCTAAATGGAACCATTTATGTAAAAAGCATATAAATATAATTTGTTTTCCATTTTCTACTCTTTTTAACATTATTATCATCTTTGTTTTTACTATGATATAAAATATTTCAATTATTGACATATTAAAAAAGTGTTATAATACTTACTTAGTTTTTATAGGATGTCAATACTAGAGTAGTTTTTTTGATGTGATTTATAGCAACTCACCTTAAGTTTATTTTCAAGGCAACTATTGGCTTTTTTAACTTGGTGTATTTCATCTTTTGCTTTGTCCGATTCCACCAGTAACTCGGTAACTCGCGTTGTCAGATCTGCAAATAGAATTTTAGTAAATAAGTCTCCTGCTGTATTGAGTCTCGATATCCGATACCACGCGACAGTGCAGTATCTTGATGGCAAACTGTGATAAACGCTGGGTGCATATATTCATGATACGGTGTATTGCGTTACAAGCGTCGTGGGCAGTCAGATTAACCGAGAAATGTCAAATTTCTAGTAAATATTTGTGGTTTCACTGACAACTAAACCCAAGTATTTTCTCTATTAGAAGCACATGTGTTAATTATAGAGATTAGTCTATAGTCAAATTAAGTCATACCTCGGGTATTTTAATGTTCCAGCATACAATTAGATATGCGCTTCTAATAGCGCAAATATGGTAGTTAACATATAGTACTCAGAAATACTGAAGACTGTTTTTACTTTCATGAAAGCCACACAATTAATATCTCTGCCAAATAATGATTTATAAAATAACAGAGCAATCTTAATTCAACACACACAGAATAATATTTTTAACCACAGTGAAGCACATGTGCTAAATGTCAGAGTTGAGTCTATGGTCAAAGTAAGTCATAACCTTGGTACAATGTATTTTAATGATCCAGCATACACTTAGATATGCACTTCTAATAGAACAAATATGGTACTCAGAAGTATTGTCAAAAATATCTCGACCAAAAATGAATTATTAGTAAATAACATAGAAATCTTAATAATACCACTGCCTTCAAAACACATGGAATAATATTTTTAACCACAGCAAATTTTCTCAAATTATGTGATTCATGAAAAAATTGCAAAATTTTGAAGCAACAAAAAACATTTAAGATATCAGGAAACCGCAGTGACTTCCGTATAATGTTGTGATTGTGGGATATCGTCAAATTGTCAACATTTCTAAATATGCAAATTTATCAGTTTCACAGAACGTCACGTAATTTATATTACGAGTTGTTGTCGTCTGTCTTACCTTGTTTATCACGATCCAAATTATCAATCACTTGACGATTCAAATCCTCGCTGGTTTTCAATCTTGATTCCCTTGATTGGAGCTACAGACGAGAAGAGAAAGAAATGCACCTTAGATAAGATGTAGAAACACGACAACATGGAAAGGAGCCTTTTCCCAAGCCGTTCCCTACAGAGCGAAGCTTATTGAAGCGTGACAATGGGTTAGACTGGGATGACAGCACAGCGACATTGAGCAAAGAGACGAAGTGCTCTTCTTATCTGTTTACATGACAATGCAATCTCCAACCATGTTAGCTTCTTACTTTTTAATATCAATGACAAGAAAAGGAAATGTTACAACACATTTGGGTCAAGAAGAAACTCTCTCAGTTGATATTATCTATTGAAAGGGCCTTGTAACAATGCCATCTAGGCACATCACTCTGGAACGTTACAAGTACTTTTTCAAATGTTAAACGGCTTGTCTGTATAGTTATAGACTGCTAAAAGGTTAAAATATGGTATTTAGGAATTGAAATAGATCTAGTTATGTTTTAACTCTCCACAGAAACATGGACTGAAAACTGCTTTAATCTCAGGAGAAACAAATTTTTGTAAATTTTTCAGTGAAAATCAAAAAAATTTTGCAGCATTGAAAGTTTCTCTGTAGTCTTTACGGCTTGTTTTCACGAATGTCATCAAATCATCAAATTAAGAAAATTTCCAGCAATGAAAATTACGATTTTACAGTATTTTATTTGTAATGATTTTCATATTCAACAAACTAACTCTCGATGTATCGTATTAGCTCTATTAGTAAGTAGCGCTTGGGCTCACAAAAATGACAGAGGCATCTCTATAGTCAACATTTCAATAAGACAGTATTAGTAAACAAAAGTTTAGATTAGAAAGTTACACACTCAGGAGAATGGAAGCCTTATATGATTCAGACACTGGTTCATTTTACCATATTACAATTTCAATTCTCGCACTCCCGGGGTCTGGTAAAATTTATACATTATTTCATCTTAGTAAATTTTTTCCTGTAAATTCCTTGGCACAGAAGGAAAATACCGTGGACATATAACATACAGATCACACATCACAGGGAACATCGTATGTTATCATATTATTACGACACCAGGAAAACGAAATGCTTTACTAATGCTGTACACATGTAAATCTTATGGGACACCATGAAAGAGGTTTGTGTGTTTGCTTACCAATTCCTCCAGTGATCTTCTCTTCTCCTTCAGATCACGGTTCTCTCTATTCAGGACTGAGTTTTCTTCATCCAGATATATTTTTCTGTAGATTAAAGATATCATAGAGTTCAGCGAGATATGCATCTCTCCCTGCCTACATTTGAATGAATTCAGCACTTGAAATAGTGTTGTCATTTAAAAAAATTTATTCAGAACTTCAAGAACAAAATAATTAGTTTTATGTCAATTTGTTTTTCAAAAGCAAACATGCATTTTTTTAGGTTTATCTTATTGTTAAAAATGATGACAAGAAACATGAATACTTTTTTTGCTTTCCAACACAACCTTTTTTGTATTTTGACATTATTGAAGTCTTTCTAATAGTTGGTCCATCTGATTTTTCACTCAAATAACAATTTGGTATTTTCCTCTAGCAATTCAACCACCTGGAAGGAAATGGCTACGCTCAGATGCTACCAAACAGTTTTCTTTTTATTGATACTAGAAAAAACTTAAATACTTGAGTTTTTCTGTTTCACATTTTTAGCTCCGCTGTCGACTTTGTCGAGCGGAGCTTATCATATGAGTGATTGTCCGTCGTCGTTGTCGTCCGTCGTCGTCCGTGTCAATGTTTTACTTTTTCGACTTCTTCTTGAAAACTACAAGCCTAAATGCTTTGATACTTGGTGTATATGTACCTTGGGTAGACCTCTCTTAGGTTTGTTCATTTCATGTTGATATCTTTAATTCTCTAATTTTGGTGAAT